AAATGATAAAAATTAATTCTTGTCAGATTGTTTGAATTTCAAGATGTTTTGCTGTTCCACAAGTGTTACAGTATCAGTAGCAGGTTAGACCAGGTTAATCCAAATTGGCTTGCAAACACTTGTAATTTTGGATTTGGAGAAAAATTATTCAGCTTAAAATGGCTAATACATTCATGCTGTAAGGTTGGTGATAATAAGTTCTTTAGACGTCTAGACGTGCGATTACCCTAAATGCAGATAAACAAAATCTTTTGTGCACGTGTTGCATGTAGAAGGAGATGCAGAACTGCAATACTCGGCAAGCGCTGGTGTAGCCAGAGTCAGGGCTGCCGTTCCTAGCTCGCAGGAACAGCCGTGTGTAGTGTGAGGGGCTTTTAATTGCTGCTTAGTAATGGTCAGGGTTAATTTTACAAAAAAAGGGAGACAGCCGATTGCCATAAATTCTGGTTGGAAGATTGTTGATATATTTTGAAGGATACCAGTCCGCACAAGTTTCACTACAGCCTTCTGGTACAAAATTACCCCTGCTTAACTGTAGCTGACTTGCTTTAAGATGCTGGCAAACGCTTCAGCGTTGGTATGAGTGCCTTCAGCAAGTCCGCCGATGTATGCTCGTAGGTTTTGAGGTTGGCTCTGCAAAACAGTTCAGAGTAACTTAACCCAGAAGACAGAATGAAGAGCACTTTTAGATATAAAAAGCAATTTGGATGATGGGCAAGGAGGAGGAATGTAATTGCTCTAGACGTCAAGCCAGGGTACTAGATTTGTGAATTTTTATTATGTTGAAGAGTGATGTCTTTGCAAAAGCTTGAACTACTTAATGTTTTGTTCTGCTTGAAACCTTAGCTTTTCAGTGTCAGGTTGGAGCACTGCAATGTCAGAGAGAAGAGGTAGTCTCTCTGAAATAGATGTTTCAAACAACTACACCAAGCCAACACTCATTTTCTTGACTTGGCAATCGAGACGGTTTCTTTCTAGCCAGCAGATTCCTGCTTTTGGGGGAAGCTTTGCTATAGTGAACTTTATCTCATCACCCCATGCAATTTTATTATCAAATTTTAAACTGTGCAATTCATAAACAGAAGGTGAAGTTACAGTCTCTGGCTAGTGCCAGACTGCTGTCACACTATTGCGGACTATGGATATTCCACTTTTGTGAGAGTCTGTTAATCCCTTCTATGCTGTTCCTATAAACGTCCCAGTTGAGGGGGTCGCTCACTTTCCAGTAAAAGCAGGAGTTGAACTAGTTTGGTGCTTGTTCCCAGCCTTGGCAGATACTTGGGCCAGGTTGAGCAGTTACTAGAAATGGGAAGCAGCCTTAGGAGGATGAGTACAGTCTGCGGCAGCGAGCCCTCTCCTGTTCAGAGAAGACTAGGAATGGAAAGGAGACTCTCAGTTTCTGTTAGAGGAGAAAAGGTGAGTTTCCAGTTCTGCAGTGGGAGGTTAGCTGATCACCAAGGTTCCAGTTCCCACAAGACTGAAGTACCTGGGGGACATCACTTTCTCATTGCCCTTCTGATAGCTCTTTGCTCTGAGGCATTTTAAATGGGCAGTGCTAACTAGACTGTTAATTACACCCATCCCAATGCTGTATTATTTCCTTCCTCTCTTTGCTTGAGTTTTGCCTTCACAGTGTGCAAGCAGGGTGACTACTGGTTGAAGGAGGGGGTAGCTCAATAACGTGAGACAATTTGTTCTCATGGGCCATGCACGCCACGGGGAACGAGAGCCTAACGTTGTAATCCTGGCCCTGACTTGCTCTGCTTTCTGTATCTGTTTCTTCCTTTCTGTAATTGTCAGTAGTCACCGGCCTTCCAGGGAAGCCCTTGGGCGGCCGGTAAGAGGCTTGGCAGCGGACGGGGATAGCTGTGGCTCTCTTACTCCGCTTGCACAACATGGGCCATAGAATTTCATCTTACGCAGCTGCGCGCTGGTTTTTAAGTGCTGTTTCGTACCAGCGTGAACACAGCAGCACGTACAACACCCCGGACCTGTCCTGTGGGGGAGTGCTGTCTCTTGCAGCAACTGCCTAATGCTGGCAGCCGCGTCCGGGCTCCTAGCGGCAGCAGGGGCCTGGCAGCGACTTGCAGAGATTCACTGCTTCCATTTTATGGTTCAGTTGAGATGAACCCTAAGGCTCATATCTCTGAAAACCATGGGCCAGTTTCTGTGCAAGTCCACCTCTGCCAGTTGCAAAGCCAAGTAACCCAGTCTACTGGAAACGTATTTGGAGATTGATGCCAGATTCCCAAACTGGAGAGCATCAGCTTGCAATTCAAGTGGTGCTGACATTTGCGGGAAGGCTTTCTGTTCTAAGCCATCAGATGTTAGCTAGTGTATGTAATTAACTTGGTATAATTTTGCTTCAAAATGAAATATTCATTCAAAAGAGACTTAAAAAAACATCCTGATGTTTTTAATGTCTGGGTAGCAAGTGGTGCTGCGTAGAGCAAGGCACGCATTTATTGTTAGAGAGATTGGTTTCATGGCAACTCCTGTTTGTTACTATGGTACACAGAATGTCCCAAAGGCTTTTAGTGTCCGTCACTTCTTGGGTCTTGCGAGTAAGCTGGATACAAAACCCACTGATGTACATTAACAGTGGAGACGGAGAACAATATGAAAATACTACAGCCTGAAGTGCCCTGGTTGTCTGGTTACCCCACAGGGCAAATGTAAAACTTTATTTTGCATAGTAGTTTTTCTAGAGTTTGATAATAAAGCTTGTGACCAGAGCAGGAGGAGAATGAAACAGAAATGGAAGGGGTAAAACAGGGTTTTCTTTTGCCCCAGAGGAAATTCAGGAGTTAGAGAAGTGATAAGCAACAAAACCAAACCAGAAACCCATAGCTTGCAGAAGGAGGAATACCAAAGGCTCTGCCCTGAAGCAGTAAGAGAGCTGAGGATTTGCTGAGAAGAAACCGTTTGGAAAGTTTAGAAATGAAGTAGCCCCATTTGGTTAAAAGACTGGAACAGGGTGTCGGGTGTAGTCGCGCCATCCAATTCCTGTTTACCTCCCCGTTACGAAGGTCACTGACCACTTCTGGTCTCTCTAAATCTGTTAGGTATTTCGATTCTAATGCTGCAGCTTGCAGAAGGAATTGGTTCTTTCTAAGACTTGAGCTTTATTGTTGTTTCTTTTGAAAATCATCCCAATCACCAAAATTTATCAGAATTGAAGTGTTTGCCTCAGAGTCCAGGTGGAATTGGCAAAGTTTTATGATGAGAAGAAACCACCGCTTCAAAGGTGTGTGTGCATGGGATGCAGAGTCGGTGAATCCAGCTGAACACTGAGCTCCGGTCACCTGTGATGGCTTTTTTGCTGCTGTTTTTTTAGATTGCATCCAGGAAGGACCATGTAAAGACAGAAATACCGACCCATTGAATTGCATTTGGTTTCCCAGTCCCACATGGTTGCTGTGATAGTCTGGCCGCTTCCATAAGTTTGAGTTAGTAGAGTTACTCGACATTTTACGCTACCTGATGCAGTATTTCACCAACCTAATTGGCTGGGTGAGATTCACAGCAGGCAGGTCGCTGCTGTTACGAGAAAGGATGAAAACTCCTTTGTAGTTGCATGTAACCTGTAGGCGGGGATTCTTGTTTTGTACGTGAGCGTTTTAGTTTGGTTTTGCTTCTGTCAGGCTCACAAATAAGGTTGAGTGCTAACACCAACAGAAAGCATCCCTCTTTCAGTGAAAACCACTTCTCTTTTCTTAAAAAGTAGTCATAAGACAACTTGTAGTATTGACCAGAGATGACATATCAAGAGGAAATTGTGTCTGTGGTGAACTGAGCGAGCTTTGCTTGTTGACACATGCTCCTCACCTACAGCAGCATGCTAAAATCATCTTCATGTTTTGATACAAAGAAGGAAAAAGACGCAGTCGCGTTAACCCACAAATTTCTTCATACGTTTTCTTCTGAGTATGTTAGGGAGTGATGGAGAAACATCAGTTCATAGTTTACTTTCAATTCAACTCAATATTTGACACCAGTAATGGTTACCCTCCAAATTTGTGTTGAGATACCTCTGGCCTGTATCCAGCTATTGTGCCACTGCAGAAACGGGGGATGTGGCGAGGAGGGAAATAGCCAAACAGTTGGCATCCTCCCTCCTCCCCACACGGTCAGGGAATTACACAGCTGTAGGCAGCTTAGGAGCAAAAACCTTAGGGTATGGAAGTATTAAGCACCTACTAGTTCTCCGTATTTCAGAGAGGCTTTCATATCGTGCGGTGTTTTTGTTAGTCTCACTTTATAGCTACTTCTGCTTTTAAAAATTGGTCTAGTAGATGCTTCAGAGCAACTACCTTATTAATGACTGCTTGTCTACGCCAGTGATTTGTAAGCAGGCTGGTTATCGTTTGGGATCTTTTTCTTATAAAAAAGTGTGACAGCACTGAGTCATGTTATGATTTAGACTTTGTTCTATGGCAGCAGAGCCAGAAGTGTACGTTAAGGAGCTCTTTCTCCACATTTCTTCCTGTTCGAATACCCTTTATTCCAATAAATACCCAGTGAGGATGATAAACGCTTAATGCTTTGCCTTACGGCGGGGTGCGTGCTCGCCCCTCCTTGTGCTGTAGGTTCCTGGGGAGCCACAGACGTTTAGTTGGGAGCCTGCTGCTGTTGCAAGAAGGGGCAGCTGGTGCTCTGTGTTGACGCAAGACTAATTCGTATTATTTTCATGAAGTCTTTAGCTGTGTTACCTTGTTTGAAAACGTATGGTGCTGGGCTTTGTTTCTGGCTTAACAGAGTGCAAGTTCAGTGCTCTGGGACAAATACGCGCACCGTGATGAACCGCTGTAGTTTTTACGGGGAAAGTGTTATTGATGAGCTGAGTGAGTGCAGTGCGATTCCGTTTCCTTGAAAGAAGCTGCATAGATATTGGTGCCAGTTGGATAAAAGACATACCAAGTGGAGCTGCAAATGGTTTTAATAACTAGAATATGTGTAGATCTTGCTCAAAAGAATTGTTTTTTTGCTTCTCTTCCAGTTTCTTGCACAGCCAACCACTTGAAGAAGGAATTCTTCAACCCCTTGTTTCCAAAGACCTTGGACTATTTTCTGCTGCTCAACTCCCTTCGCTCCCCCGTTTCAGTGAACAAAAGGTCCTAAGAGGAGGATGAGGCAGCTAAGAGGAAAACCCAAAAAAGAGACCTCCAAAGACAAAAAGGAGAGAAAACAGGCAATGCAAGAGGCCCGGCAACAAATCACCACCGTCGTGCTTCCCACGCTGGCTGTTGTAGTACTGCTGATTGTTGTGTTTGTTTATGTAGCGACTCGTCCAAATACAACTGAATGATGCAGCGTTTCAGACTTCCTAGCTTTGGGGTATTAATAATTCCGTCAAGAGCCAAAAGGAACTCGCTGCCACTCTTTTAGTACTTTACAAAGGAACTTGCTGGTATTTTCAGTCTTTCTCTTGGTTAGGATCCCGCAGTTTCTCTTTAGGAATGTAACATAAAACGTATTAGTGAATGTGCCAGTACGTTTTATGGTCCAGTTCATGTGCCTTTCAGACTTTTAAAATGGTGGTTTTCTTAAATCTGTTTGAAGCTCTATATTGTAAAAGGAAATCGTGTTCTGCTATAAATTTGTAAAAAACCCAGCTTTCAGCTTTTATCACTGTTGTGGATGATGTTGCTCCCATGAGCTCTTGTGTGTCTATTTCAGAACTTCCAAAGAAGTACATTTCTTCTTTGTACTTCACGTCATATGAAGTGCTTTGATTCAGAAAGGATATATTTATTTTTTGAATAAAAGAGAGAAGTCTTACTTGGAATCTTCAAATTATTTTGCAAAAAATGTGACTTATTGTGAAAGCCTACATTGTGTAATAATTTTTTCATTAAACACTATATAGTTCACTCAAAAAGAATTTCTTCAACATGCAAAGTGAATACTTCAGGATCCGCCGGGAGGAGTCTTACAGAAGTTGGAAAGGGCGATCCTACCAGTTTATGGTGAAGTAACTAATAACAAACTACATAAACACAGAGGCAGTTGTTTATCTGAATGCTAAATATTTAAATCTGTATAAAGTGGCAATAAAAAGGTGATTTTGGATACAGCCCTTGATTTTTTTTTTTTTTTTTTTTTAAAGGAAGGAAAAAAAAAATTAGTGTAAATTAGGTTCTTTTTGAACAAACTACATAAACACAGAGGCAGTTGTTTATCTGAATGCTAAATATTTAAATCTGTATAAAGTGGCAATAAAAAGGTGATTTTGGATACAGCCCTTGTTTTTTTTTTTTTTTTTTTTTTAAAGGAAGGAAAAGTAACATTAGTGTAACTTAGGTCTCTGTTGCTGAAGTGAGCTGCTGTCCTGTGACATCCCCCTCTCCCCCTCACTTAACGGAAGCTGTGAGCACAGCTTGGGCAGTTTATTCTAGGAAATCAAGCTATAAATTCTGATCAACATGCTTCAGTAATCCTCTATTCTTCTACAGCCCTTTATCATCCAAATATTTAAGGCACTCAGTAAGCATTAACCTTCAGAAGACTTTGGGGAGGGAATCTGAGAACTCCTGACTGCTGCTTAAATACAGGCCAAGCATGGCGATGGTACAGCGCACTGAAGCGTAGCAGGAAATATTTCTGTGCCAAAAGTCAAAAGACCCCTCGCATCTTTACGTCACCCTCTGTCTGCCGGCACGGGGACAGTCCCAGGGAAGTCGACGGGACTCTTCATGCAGGTGCCAATGAGAGACCATGCCTTGCTTCCTGCGTTAACCCTGCGCGTTGTTCTGTGCAGAACGCTACTGCCAACCAGCGTGGTGTTGCAAAGAAATAATTTAGGCAAGCAAATGCAATTCCCTGCCCTGAGGCACGTGTTCCCGAAGTGGGACGAGTCTACGGCCAGCTCTAAACTAGCCCACTTCAGAATGAGACCGAGACCCGGTGGTGCTGGGATGGCCGCAGCTCGTGACGCTTGCTGTGCCACCGCTGTCGCTAGTGCCTAGGATTAAACTGGCCCTGCGGACTAGGATGCTTTTGGAATACAAAATTTGCTAAAAACTAAAAGGAAGAGTTTGGATGAACTGTTAGGTTGGGTTTTTGCCCCCCAGCTTGCAGCGTGGTTGGGATATATGCACAACAAACTACGGGGACAAGATGGCCATCGTGGTGTGCCCAGAAGCATCTACCCACCGCGTGACCACCGGGAAAGCTGCTGGGGAACCGCTGTGCTCGCCGTGCCGTGCACTGAGACTTTAAGTTACCTGTGCTTTGGTACTGCGAACCGCCTCCTTCAGCTGGAGAGATCCGAAATGATGCATCGGTAAAAGTAATTGCTCAGTCTGTGTCGTCTCCCAGCTGTTTCTGTTCTCCCAGGCACCAAATCCTTTTTGTCCTCTTGTTATTTTATCCTCAGTGGGGGATGGCTGCGATGGAGCTCTGATAGTTTGCCCCTTTTCTGCAAGGAGGTGTTCAGCTTGAATGAAATTGGTGTCTGAGGAAGAGAACAAAAGCGTGTGCGGTTTAAATAAGTGTGTTCTGCAGGGTACCTGGCGTCTTGGGCGTCTAGAATAGAAGCAAACTTTCCACTAACCTCTTCCATAGATTCCTCTTCCTCATTTTCCTCTTCCCTAGATCCTTAAGGAAGGTTTTCCTGTCCCTGCTCGTTCTGTGATATTTTCTGACGGCTCTAACAAAGTCCCTGGGACTTTCCCATCTCTGAGGAGCGGATTTATTTCAGTCTGTTCCACCTGCAGGGCTTTTTTATCAGTCCAAGCAATAACTTTAGAATTCGGAAAGCCTTCCCTGAAACTGTTCAGAGTCCTTACGTGAGGTTTTTTCCCTTCATTTTCTGCAAGAGTGGAGTCTGTGACACATAAGAGCAATTAACTGGCTGATAACATCTAAATAGGTAAAGGTCAGTTGGGTTCGATAATATTTAAGATTACCTCTCTAATGAGATGTTTCATTTCTGCTGCTTTTTCTTATGTCCTCCCTTTGTCTCTTGTCATCTGCAAATTCTTCAGGTGGCAGTAATCACCCTTTCAGAGCCGAATGTTTATTAATATGAACCTATGGCTTAATGCTAATAAAAGACTGTGTATTTCAGTTCCCTGAAATGTGCAATTTTACTGAGTGCTAATTGAGAGGAAAATAGCGTTACACATTCTGAATTGTTTCTTATGCAGAAGCTAGAATTGATTTCACAGTTTGAATCTTTAAAAAAAAAAAAAAAAGAATATATTTTTCTCTAGTAAACAGGTTGGAGTCTGACATTTTCTACCAAATTCCCTTTTACTAGTATCGGATGTGCGAATGCGCAGTTGGGAGGATGGTATGAAGCCTCTGTAGACAAAAACTGTCAAAAATCACTGGGAAATAATCGGGAAGTAAATTAATGGCAGTTGCCCAAATGTCAACTCCTGTGAACTTCTCAGCCAAAGGTATAACCGTGTCTCTGGTTTTTACCTGTATGTATTACTTCAAGTGTCAGTTGCCTTCAAAAATGTTTTAGAAATAGGGTTTCAAACCTTTTCCCAGCATACAGTAGCTTGTGGGCAAAATGGAATGATTTATTACAAGCGTTTTACCAGAAAACTCATGCTGAGATACTTCTTCAGCAGTGTCTTAAGATACGGTTTCCAAGAGTGCTCATTATCAGGTGAAGTCATTAAAAACCTGCCATTGCCCTCTGATAAATCAAGTTACAGAAGCAATTTTTTAAAACCAATTTTTCAACGCATAAATCAAATCTGAGTCAAACACTTCAAGGTTTGAATGGAGTTTTAGAAACGTCTTCGAAGTGCTAAGAAAATAAAGGAGCCATGCCAAGTATTCTCACCATGGGGAGATGCCCGTCTGTCTGCTGAATGGCCCCAGCCCCCAAAACCAAGCGAGAGAAGCCAGCGACGCTGCCCGTGGGCTGAAGGAAGAACTACACGGATTTTCAGAGCTCAGAGAAATCGGTTCTCGGTCTTCTGTTTCAGTCCATCGACCAGAAAATGTTTACTTATTCACGCTGATGTTCAGAAAACAGCGCTTTTAAATACGAGGCAGAGAAAACGCGCCATTCTTTTTTCAGATTATTTATGTTCGGTGCCCGAATGGTGCGCGTGCAGGTTTGAACACTCCCGTAGCTGTGGAAGATGTGAACTAGAGCCTCTACTTTGGTTCTCTGTTTTGGACCTGCGTCACAGAGACGTTTCTTAGAAGAAGTTTCTTAGCAGGGAGGTAGTTCCAGCTCACACGCTAGGCACCAGCAAAGCAATGTCCTGCTGTCCCTGTCCCAGCTGAGTCTCTTCATCATCACTACAGACGGGGCTGTTTGCTGATGCTGTCTTCTGTCCACCACCTTTATTTGGTTGAAAAGTTTCAACCAAAAAAATTCTTGTTACGGTGCTTACGTGGGATACGGAGGGCCAGGACTTGTGTAGGATTTCTTGCTCCCTCTGGGATTGTGCAAGGGCTCACGTCGAGTAAATCCTATATCTGTGGCAGGGAATCCCGTGACGGGATGGTTTAGGACTGTTCTTTGCACACAAACATGTTCTCGTAAGGTAACAGGGCAAACACATTCTCGACAAATCTGTTTCCAAGCCCCTCGCAGTTTGGTTAAGAGTAGATCGGAGGAACAAACCGCTCGGTTTGTTGGTTTAGGAAGGGACACCCGAGCGCAGTGTATCAGTGTCTCGGGGTGTTGCTCAACTCACTAGCAGAAATTTAGATGCAGTACATTAAATTGCAGCCTATTTATGGATTTGAGGGTGTCCATGTGATTAAATAGTAACTCGGACACAGTGAACTTTGAGATCTGAACCCTACAGTGAGTTAAAACCAACACGCAGTTCCCGCATTGGTTTGGCCAGTTCAAACAAGCTCTGCTAGAACAATCTTTAACCTCGCATTTCCTCAGCAGGCTGCTGCGTCTGAGAAGAAAAAAAACTTCCCTAGCACAAGGCAGTTGGTGTAAAATCTAGTGGATAGCTATTTTGCATAGAATTAAGTGGAAAAAAAAAAAAAGTGATGAATGATCTAATTGGCTGTTGTAGGTTGTAAAGCCCGATGTAATCCCATCACCTGTGTAATCCAGGGTAGGGACCTTCCCCTGGTGCCCTCTGCCTCCCTCCAGCCGTTTGGTCTCTGGGAGACCCACGGGCAGAGGAGCAGGGCGGAACGGAGGTCGCTTTGGTGACTGTCATGACGTACGATAGATGTACAGCCACCGGGGCTCATCTCATTAGACAGTCTCTGTTGATGACTTCCTTCTTTCTCATTCCCACTGGTGGTGGTTCGTCCAGTTTTGAATTACTAAGTGGTGGTGGGCTTGATTCTGTGTGCTGTCGTACCACTGTTAAATCAGGAATCATAACCAATTACACGATGATAAAGCCAGAACAGTGAGACTGGGGTTTAGGCACTCTCTGTAGCATCTCTGATCACAGCAGAGGTGTCTTAGCCTTTGGCTGCGTAAGCTAAAGCCATCGCTTAAGTCTGCCCATCGGAAAAGCAAGAAAGCCGTGCCTGTGATTTTTAGAACGTTTGCCCATTTTTGTGTTCACTTGGCACTGTGTTCTGCCGCCGTTGTTTGCATTCCTCTCTACACGGCTCAGAGCACCCACCGTCTCTCTGACGCTCTCCCATTCTTATACTCTGAAATTTCCCATACAGAAAAGAAGGGCGTAAGAGATGGTGGCAAGAAAATGCGCTAAATGCCCAACTTTCATGTGAGCCACTTTAAATGTTTCTGTTCAGTTCCTGTCGTTTCACCAACAGCCCCATCAGGGTAAGTTTTGGGAAGTGAATTGGGCAGCAGTGGGCTGGCAGCTCTTATACCACCAACTATTTCAAAATTATATCTCGATGAAACATGTTGGCAACTGGGTGTACATGACCTCTGTTTTTCCTTCAGTGAAAAAAGCTGGTGGCAGCCTGAACCATTGTTCTTTTTATTTAAAACAAGTCTTTCAACTGGGAGCCAAAAAAATGCTTTTCCGTAAAGCTTTGAAAAATCATAAAAGAAGTCCAGCAGCTTACAGGAATTTTCCATTCACAAAGTAGAATAGAAATCTTCTGTGTTTTTTGGCTAGTCCGTAGCTCCCGAACATTGCACCTTGTCCTGTCAAATGAACTTATGATTAATAATTCATTTTTTTCATTTTTATTAGTGCTTTCAGACATTTATAGCCTTGGACCCTTCTGATTATTCCTTTTTTTGACAATATACATACGTCTCCAATCCCTCCTCGTAAGGTATATCATTTCTCAGTCTTTCTTGTATCTGCAGTCCCTCATTCTTTAAAAAGCTTTCCAAACTTGAAATGTGGTACATGTTGTACACGCTATTTTTGGCATGATAACATCAGGAATACGTATTTTCCTTCAGAAACCTCTCACCAGTTCAGTCAAGCTGCTACCTTTTAGTACAGTTAAAGTATCCAGCCCCAGCGGCGTGGCGCTGGCTATACCTGGCAGCAGTGGGCTCTTGTTTAAATTGGGGACTGTCAGATGAGGAACTTCTGCTGATTTTGGCTGGCGAAGAGAAGGGTGACCTTTCAGCTAACTATGTGTTAAAAAAATGGCACTTTGATCCGCGCTGCCTCAGGACATTTGTGGCGTAATCCGCTGTGAGCAGGAAATAGCAGTAAACAAGCGGCTGTTCCGATACAGGTACTTTGCAGTTTTCAGTGCTTTTCACGGGGAGTTTATTATATGGCGTGACACAAAAGCCAGGCTGAAACTCACTCAGTCGTTTCATTAGCCAAAGCTAGTACCTTGGCCAGATCTTAAAAAGCTTTAGAAAAAAATCTTACTCAGTTTTTGATAATTTCATTCATTCACTCTGGACCATCACACAGACCTGTATCATGAGAGGGATCCTCAGGCCTGGGACTGGACTCAGACACAGATGTTTCTTTGAAGATCTGGAGCATGCTGTCTTGTTGTATGCTTAAATTTTGCAGTGGCAAAACAATCCGGCTAGCTGGCTAATAGCCCATATTTTTTTTTTCTCTTGCCCTTCTGAAAGACAACATTTTGCTGTCTTTTTGCTTGTACAGATCTTTCCCAGCTTAAAACTTCGCTTCATTTCCAGAGGTTCCTAAATTTCTTCCTTAGTTCTTTTAAAATTCCCAGATGCATCTCCCCTTAAGTTAAGGACACATATATATTTAGTTCGTTCAGATGTCCTTCCATCATCTCTTTATTCCGTCCTCATTCCTCCAGCTGAGTTTAGTAATTTTCCTGAATTTTCCTGTAAAAGGTTCTTTGATGTCCTCATTTTCATTAGTCATTTTATTGCAAACCGAGCCAAACTGGTATTTAAAATCTTGGTATTTTGTGTAAGTGTGATGTAGTGTATTTTGCTTTAATGGAAATATAGCTTCCAAAAACAATTTACATTTTTGCTGTGGCCTTGAATATTAATGAGACTTCTTTTACTCACAAACTGGAGCTGTTTGACAGTCTGGTATTATTTTTATCCGGATTTTTCCAGGAAGTTGGCAACAGTATATGCTGGAAAGCACTTCTTCAGTATCTTTTTCACTGAAATTGGTGGTTCATCAACACTGTCTGTAATTTCTGTTTCGCTTGCACAGCAATAGAATTCAGTATGAATTGCAAATAAAAGGAATCTCAACATTATGCATTTTTTTGGCACATGGAGCTGAATTAACTCTGCTCAGTTTTATAATGTTTTCTTATGTTGTAGAAAAATATAAAGATTTTAGGCCCTTACCTAAACCAATTTGTCTGAAGCTAAAGGTTTTTTCCCTATTCCAATGTAGTTAAACAACGAGCCAACAGGCCAACATAGTATCAAAACATCGGTACTAAAACAGGTGCTTTTGAAGACAGGATTTAAATATCATAAAGTATTAATGTAAAGCATGTAAAGCACCTCAGATCAGGCTCTGCCCCAAATGAAGTCTATACGTCTGGTAAAAGGGGCAATACAGGTGGCTTCAAAATATCTGCTTTGTCTATTCGTGTTCCCCTCACGGACCTGCATGGCTTAGAGCATAAGAAAGAGCGAGCTCAAACTTCTCATTTCAGGAGTCCCAAGGGCAATTTCTAGAGCCAAGAATAACCAGAGCATAGATAAGCTCTTTATGCTAGGAGCTATGACATGGCTAAAGGCCCCTGTTATTCTTGTTCTCTGCAATCTAGAGAATTTCTCTTGGCTGATTATATTTTCAAGGGAATAATTCCACTTATTAGCCCTCTGCACATCACAGAATTGAAAGTATCTTTCTTAATTTACAGTGCTGCAGCAGGGTCCCCGCTGCACACAATTGAACTTTGCAAAACCAACCAGTCTATTTTAGAATATGTTTAGAATACAATATTTTGTAATATAGTCAAGTTACAATATACCTAAACCTGTAGGATAATGATTACCTTATCGAAACCTTGGTGATAAAAATACTTGCTATTGGCAATGTGCCTAAATACATTAAACAGCTGTTGCAGATTTTAGTTCTAAGAAACTCATGGGTGATTATTCGGTTTTATTTTCTTAATTGTGTGACTGGCTTAAGTATGCCCGCTTTGCTGGATCCTGGCATATTTTTTGAGAGTATTTTCAGAATGTCTTTGCAGTTCTTCAAGGTGCGAATTTAAACGTTCTTCAAACTCTCTTGTATGTCTCTCTTCCTCTTGAAGGAACTTTTCTGTTGTTGCAAGGAAGGACATCTCAGGGGGAGACTGAGAAACGAACAGAAAATCATGGTTAGTAAAAACCAGCAAGTACTACAACATGTTTGCATTATCACATTTTAGATTTGAAAAACATCTTAACTCATAGCAGCTAATAACGCTATAACACTTTCTATCTCTCCAAGAAAACATGAATTTGGGCATCCATTTTTAAAGGCATTCAGGTGCGCAGGTAGCACGATGTGAACATGATGTTTGAATACCTGTGATATTCACAGCATTAGGATGTAGATTTGTCATTAGAAATGTAAATATCCCCACAGACAGAATGAAGCTGCTTCAGAACCAAAATCTTTGGATCAGCTAAAGGTTATGTTAGTCGCTTGTATAATTTAGACCAGGACAGAGGACAATAGTCTCGTTTTTGGAATTACAGTTGGGTACTGCTGATTGCCTCCTGTAATTTTAGCTCTCTGCTTCTGTGATGTGATGCTTTCTGAGGAAAGGAAGAAAACCTATGCTCATTTCAGTACTATCAACTTCAAGCCCTGATATTCTGGAGAATGTACTAAATTTTATTCGCTGCAAGTAGTTCACTGAAAAATCTTCTTTCCATTTAACGAGCATTTAGTAGACTGAGACATAAACCATGCCAAAATCAGTCTTAGAATGGTTGTCATGGGATGCAGAGTTGTATAAAGCAAAGGACATGAGTAAGTCTTTGCTGGAACAAGTTCTAAATTTTTAAGCAGCAATTTTTGTTAATTCTTTTTGCTAATACTTAAGATGCATTCATTGGAATGTCTTTATCAAAAGAAATATGAAATAATTTTTCTTTGCCTAAAGATATTATGCTTGTCTAAATAAATTCCATGTTTATTTGTATAGATAAATACAATTTTATGACATGAACTTTTAACAGTCAACTGAAAAAACTTAGTATAGGAGCTGTAATACTGAGTAAGAGAAAGATAATTTTCTGTCTTTATATGATCATATGTTGAAAAAGATGATTGACATTTATTATCTTAATTAAACCATATGTTAAATAGTCTTAATAACTGATTGTGTTATTAGTCTAGAATCTCTGGTTTTGTTTTTCCTAGAATGTAAAAAGGAAAGTTTATCTGTCAGCGTATCAAATAGGAATCATAGATCATAGCATGGTTTGGGTTGGAAGGGACCTTAAAAATCATCTGGTTCC